CAGGAAATCAGTTCCTCTATGCAATTATCCTGAAATGAACTCAAACTTCTAAATAAACTTCATTCTAATCTTCCAAATTGACAGAAGACATTACTATAAGAGCTATTCGGTTACATCTTAAATATGTTGTAATGGAAAATACGTACTTGTTTTAACAATTTGATTAATTTAAACACAATGCAAGGATACAGTACAGCCATGAAAGTCTTGTCTATGTCTTTAAAAATGTTATTCTGAGATGCAACAGTTATTTTTCAATTACCAGACAAATAATTCTCATTTCATATTAGTGGAAACACAGAACCAGAGAGAGACAGACTGAGAAAGAATCCCAAAGTGTTGCCTGTTGCATTAGAGGCAAACCCTGAGGAAATTCCACTGGTTGTTGTGACCTCCGAAATCCCTGTTCCCTTTGTGGTGGAAAAGTGCCTATTCATAATGACGGAGTTATTACAGAACAGGGCTTAACACGGATAAGCATGACTGGTACGAGCAGTCCCTTGATTTAAAGGTGACGTGTAATTTCTATACCAAAAGCATCACAAAAAACTCACTTTGTCCTCAGTCTGGCTGTCTTTTGCGTAAATGGCCATGAGCTGCGTGTCCTCTGCGTCCTGATCTCCAGGGGTCTGCACGACACCATTAACCACCTGTCAAATACACAGAAATTTGCAAACATCACATATTTACCAAGTAACAAAAAGAAAATAGGTGACACTACTTGCAGACTCTTCTATTGTCATGACAAAGGATAAATGTGGACGTGGATATCTTGGTAAGCAATCAAACATTATGTAGGTGAGTTTGGCACAGGAAGGGTTAAGCTTCCAGAAGCTTTAATTTGGTTCTATTTGCCAAATTCAAATGCCAGGGTTCCAGTGGCAAGCGCATAATTTTACCTTACATTTCATGATATTACATACCCACACTGGCAAAACATGTCAGTCCACTAAAGTTCACCAGGGCATTTATGCAGATACAGTAAGTGATTACACTCATGTCATGTAGGGAAGAGTTCACCAAAACAAGTTTTTGGTAGTTTCTAATGACATCATAGACAGAAGATTTATATGGCTGCACAAGGGTCTTTCAATAATTATACACAGAAATGACTCCGCAAAAGTACTATTAGAGTCCAAGAAAAGAACATACTTCACTAATAATTCATCACCAATTTAAAAGAATGATACAATAGACATAAATGTTACAAGACACAGTTTGTTATGTAGTTGCATTTAAGGAAGTGTTGGGCATGACTAAGGGAAACTTGAGTCTTGACACTTCTTCTTAAATGACTGAACAGATAAAGTTACAAACAGTAGACCATAGTGGACTAACTGATAAAGAAAAAACACTTTAAAAGATTAATATCTAATAGCATGTCTCTAACCTCTTGACATGCTTATAAATGTTTAAATATGAATATTTAGCAACAAAAACACTACCAAAAAGCAGCAGTTGCATATTTTAAGTTGTTTGTTTTGTTTAACTTTTAAAAAAACCTTTCCGGCAGTGGCGAGATATGAACATGAGGTGCTTACATGTTACAAACACAAACACAAACAAACTGTATAATTAAAGTAGTAATGTTTTACACTACTGTATTTGTTAAAATTAGGTAGAACTATTTTAAGCATTTATTAATGGTAATGTTTATAACATTTACAGTGCCTTGCGACTCATTTTTTTCACGTTGTTATGTTGCTGCCTTATGTTAAACTGCTTTAAATTACTTTTTTTCCCAGAATACTTTTGCAAGGCACTGTATATATAAATAGATTATTCTTCTCTGTTAATTTGTGCCTGTTCATAATAGATTAATTCATGTAATTTTATACTACAACTTGAAACGTGTTATTATAAATGTATTATTATAAAACCTTATGTATACCATGATTATAACAAAGTTGTTTGTCATTCCTAGTAGCTTATAGATACTTGAGAAAATTCTAGAAAGCCAGCTTTTAAATGGCACTTATTGGAAGTAGCAATTTGCACACCACACTGTCCTGCTTAAAGTACACGTGACCACAGTGTCCTGTAGAGTCACTGTGATGACAGGCTAGAAGGCATTGTTTCTGACCCTATGATTAGCGTCATTCCACACAGACGAACACACACTCACTGGGATGGGATAGAAGTGTGCACTGTGTTTGTTCTCCTCCTCATATCTGCTAGGCTCTGCGGTGGAGTCCATGGATTTGGAGGTGGTGTTTTTACCAACACCCATTCCTCCCCTTTGCTCCCCTGCCTCGTCCTCCTCCTCTCCCTCTGGCTCTGTTCCTCTCCTGCACTCCCTCTCACGCTCTGGTAGGAACACTGCTGCTCTGGCTGTCAGTACACTCTCATGCTCCGCTGATTGGCCAGCCAGGTCATCTGCGGTCAAAAAAAAACAAAAAAAAAAAACAAAGCAATGTTGTTCATGAATGAATAATGAAATTAAAGTGCTCATCTGATGACTTAAATAAAACAATAATCCATATAGTCATAAACCAATATAATTACCTTTTTTAAATCTCATTAGTTTTTTGTTAAAAAAATGGAGTACTTCACACTCATTTTATGGAGGCAAAGGCAGAATGAACTAATAAATTAAGCAATGAAATGGAATCTTAAAACAAATCCAGATTTGAGACCATTTATCAAATGAATAACGGTTTATAAACTCACATTTCACACTTTACAGTGTGGTTTTGGACTCAAACGACCATTTATATAACAATGATGTGTGATTAAACATCTACAGTTATGGACACAAGCAATAGAGGATTTGAAAAATTTGTGGTGAAGTAAAGAATAATAAAGTTTAGGGAGATGAAAAAAAGAAAGAAGTTGGAGGGTGGAGTAGGATGATGAAGATAGGATGGGTGAGATGGAAAACAGAAGCGGAAGAAAGACAGCGACTGACTGGTGAAGGTCAGTATGCTTTGTTAGCGGACATTGTTGATTTTGGTAACCGTCAAGTTCTGTTTACTTTTCTTGTGGCCTTGGGCCAGCACCCTCCCTATTAATGATAGTGATTAGACGTGTCAGCGCACCACCAACGGCTGAATCCCTCCCCACACTGCCCATGATCCCTCAGCAGCCTTGAACTCAGGACAATCACATCTGCTTGGTATCTAGAAGCCAACTGGGTCCACGAAAACCCCCTCAGCTCTACGCATGCCGTGCCACTCTTACACGTGTCCAAACTAGCCACGGTCATGACAAACATCAAGATATTTTGATGCCGACTTGGTTTTTATTTCTTGCTGCGTAACCATGCCCATTGTGAAACCTTAATGGTCCAAAACCCAGCTTCTCAAAACCGTACAACAGACATGAAATAATGAAATAAAATACAATTATATAAACATTACATTAAATTCAATGTACTTTATTATTATTAATAGAAATATTTCTTAGATATAGATCAGATATTTAGTAGAAAGTTAATAGATTATTATTATTATTATTATTATTATTATAGTTTTACATTTAACATAGTTAGGACACGGTGTTATATTACTATATATATATTTTTTTCAATAATTTCCTCATTAATTCAACCAACATACAACCGGTCTGACATCTTTTAAACACTTGGTAAAAGTAACGCTTGATTGTCAGGTTGCTTTCAATTCATTCAAATTAAAAGATATTTCCTTGGAAATAACCTTTCTTTAATAATATGTTCAATTGTGATCTCACATTTACTATTATTTTAGATTATGCATTAAAGAGTTACGTTAAATCAAAGTCGTATTTACATTTTACTGAGCAAATAGAGTCGATACTAGATATCGGTGACAATCTATTGATTTTTATTTGGAAAGCAGGTGTCCTAGTGCAGCTGGGGACAGTAAAGAAATGAGTACCTAGTTCACACATCACTCCCACCAATCAGGTCGGCCGGAAGCATCTGTGTGGGAGGGGTTAAACTGGGAGAAGAGAAGGATAGAGAGAGGATGGAAAAGAGAAAGATGGAAGAAAAGAGGTAGGGATATAGAAAAGGAATGAGGGTTGACAAAAAGGAAGATAGAGACAGGTGTTAATTAGCAGGAATAAAACAAGCCATTTCATTTTTATTTGATCATTTAAACTATGCCGTTTAACTAACATGTTGATATTTGGAATGTGCTAGCCTATAAGCAAATCCCTGCCTAATACTTGACAAAGCTTAAACAAATGTTGCAGGTTTGAAACAAGTTCAGCTCTACCAACAACATCTGTGGCATGCAGTTAATTGGCAGACAACTAGTCACTCAGTTTGTACAAACAGGGCTTGAATTTCGGCACGGGGTAGCGGGTATTGCGCATAATTTTACTAATTCCCACAGACTATCAGATCAAATCAGTATTCTGAAAACGTTCACAGACGGCATGAGTGATTCATCACTACTGTGTCTTCCCTTTTCAGCTGAACTCAATTCAGTATCGCATACTGTTTTCTGTGCGCTCACAGCCAAAGCAAGCAAACCAACTTGAACCAGTTGCGAAATCTGAGTGGAAATTTTTTTTAGACTCTCAAAATATTCCTAAACTGAAATGATACACACAATTTGATGAACAACCGTAAATGTTATTGCACATGAAGACCCCATTTCAGATGGCATTTTCCATTCTCATGGACCTCCTCGTGCTAATCTACTCTTTGCCCCATGGAGTGAGGGGAGGGCGATATGACAAAAACATCATATCACGTTTTTTTTTTCAGTATCAATATTTTATCACGATTTTTTGTTATGTTGGTTTTACTACTTTGCAAGTTGTCTGAGCAGTACAGCCAAACTAATTAACCTATTTTAAAAACAAAGCATTACAAGGTAACAAAATACAAAATAAAAAAGGATGGCAGATATTTAGGCCAAAGTGGGCAAAGATTAAAATCTTTGTCATTATTTTATCTTTGTTATTAAAAAAAAATACAAAGATACAAATTACAAATACACATAATATACAAATAAAACGAACAGTGCTTTATTTTCAGGTACAGTACAGTACAGTTCAGTTGTTGTACAGTATGTTGAGACGGAGGCGCCAGAATACTACGATATTTCTTTAAAAGCAGATTGTGGAGACATTTTAAAGGGGTCATATGATGTTGCTAAAAATAACATTATTTTGTGTATTTGGTGTAATGAAATAT